TAAATTACCTTGATAACATATCTACTTGGCAATACCAAAGCACTGTTCCTGTGTCTGATGTTCCTTTTTTTCTTTTTTTTTTCTTTTAGAGTGAGTACATCGATCATTGTGGCTCTTATGCAAAGAGAAGGAGGCATGACAATAATCAGACGGTCTGCAATATAACCTCTAACCTGGAGTACACAGACCTTGAGGCAGCTGAAGCGTTGGTGTGCATGAGTTCTTGGGGCCAGGGTCACTTTATAAGCAGCAACAGGCCGAACCCCTGCAAGCCGCGACCCCTCACCCCAGCCTCGGACTCTTGCGACTCCCTGTTGCCACCAGAACTTCCAGAGCCACCGAAGGATTTCGTGTCCCTCTCGTCCCTGGTGAGTTAGTTGTTGCGATTATGTGCAGGTCAAACTATTGAGTTATATGAATATTGGTCATGCAACAAGGAGTTCGCCTGCTTTTTGATCATATGTGGAGCAGAGGAGCTGTGAAACCGATGTGATAACTGTTGTTTGATGAGCAAACATATTTTCAAAAGCCTAGGTGTGCATTAAACCCTCTTGATGTAAAAGATAACAATAGGCCCATAGTTCATCACAAGTGACCATGGCAGGTGAGAGGTACTGCAGAAACAAAGAGCTTGAAACAGCAAGAGGGTGTGACCTCCTCTCTGCAGGGTTATAAAAATCACAGTTTATTGCTCAGAGTCATCATTATGCCAGCTTGCGTCTGCCTGCCACCTGTGATTGTGTGTGACTAATCTTTGCAAATATAACGTCTCAACACTAGAGAAACAGTCTTTTAATTCCCGTCTCAAATTTATTTTTCCAGTGTATGACCCCCCCCTCACAGCCCAAGCTTTGTTGAGACTTCAACATCCAGCTCCGGCCCGGCTGTGGCCTCGCAACACTGTTTGTCCGGGCTCCATCAACCTGTCCTGGCACCCATTCCTGAGAAGACCCCCTACCTCCCCCCCTCTACCCCAGCCCTGCAGAGCCATGGCGACCAGCGTCATCCGCCACACTGCAGACAGCACCCCCTGCCAACACCGCATTCCTGTTGCCCCCAACCCAGAGAAAACAAGAGACACAGTAACTGCTGCGACACTCTGCCAGAAGCGACAGCAGCAGCAGCAGCAGCAGCAGCAGCAGCAGCAACACATCACAAAGACTGAGACTAACACACCTCCATCTCCTCCTGCTCCTCTCACACCTGTCTTAAAAATAGAGCAGCAAACTAGTCCCTCAAAAAACAGTTTGGACAATGCCTCCACCCCCACTTTTTACAATACCCAACCACAAAACAACCCACACACTCCCGCAACCATGTTCCCGTCTTCAGTCACCAGCTCTCAAATCATCTGCCAGATGTTCCCTGTCACCAGCCAATCGGGGATAATCTCAGCGTTCATCCCTGGTGCAGTTCAGACATCCAGTACAGGTATTCGAACAGCCACCACACCAATCCTCCCGCAGCCCGCCTCAGCCAACGCCTCCTCTGTCCAGCAGTCTCTCATTGTGGGCTCAGCAGTCCCTCAGGGCACCATGATGCTGGTTCTCCCACAATCCTCTGTCTCTCAGGCCCCTCACTGCACTCAGACTGTTATGACGCTGGGCAACACCAAGCTACTACCTCTGGCTCCAGCCCCTGTGTATGTGCCAGCGGGGCCCAGTGGAGGTACGACAGCCACAAAGATGGACTTCTCCCGCAGGAGAAACTACGTGTGCAACTTCCCAGGCTGCAGGAAGACTTACTTCAAGAGCTCACATCTCAAGGCTCATCTAAGGACACACACAGGTGAGGGTTTACTGACAATGGTTTATTATCATGAGAATGCTAAATCAAGATCTGACCACAGATGAGTGTTTCTTCCTGTTTGTGAATCATGAGTGAGCTTATTGTTATAGCTCAGGCACAGCATGCTGTCGTTTGAAGATCATATGACTCATGTGTGAATCACATTCTGACTCTGCTGTCTTGCGCTCTCTGTTTGCCTCCTACAGGTGAGAAACCTTTCAGCTGCAGTTGGGACGGCTGTGATAAGAGGTTCGCTCGCTCCGACGAGCTGTCCCGTCACCGGCGAACACACACCGGCGAGAAGAAATTTGTGTGTCCCGTGTGCGAGCGGCGGTTCATGCGGAGCGATCACCTCACCAAACACGCCCGCCGCCACATGACAACGAAGAAAGTTCCCTCCTGGCAGGCTGATGTTCGGAGCCTGAACAAAATGGCCCCTGGCAAACCACCTTCCTCCAAACCTGGCCTTGCCACGCTAAGCATGCTGGTGCCTGCCAGCTCAAAGTAGACAATAAACACTGCCATCTTTAATACTCCTGAGATGCCATAGAGACTCTGGGAGCAGCCAAGCACAGTCGGCTGCTGCTATTCTACTCTTGGGAATGAAAGAAACACATGCACTGGACTCTTTGTTTTCCTCCCTATTGCTTATTTGTACGTGTATTTCTCTCAAAAGGATTCTTTTGTTTACTTTGATATTACTGATTTTATGTATGCACACTTGCCAAAGTCTTTCTATGAAGTTGGTCTTACACATTTCATTTTCTGCACCTCTCCTACAAACACTTTGCTCAACAGAAATGTATGTGTATGTGAATGTATTCTTGGTGTTGAAATGCATTTATTTGTCATTTTAAGGAAAAGGTTGAAAAAGCAATGTAAATATGAATATTAATCACCAGTACTATGATTATACCTTGATTATATCTCCCTAACTTTTCATATTATTTAATACATATTTGTAATAAATAAAAGATTAAACCACACATTTTTCAGAGTGTCATTTAGGGGAAAAAACAAGGTTTTGGATCCCGGTAGAGTCAGCAATCTTTCCTGGTTGTCTCATGCAGAAAGGCAGTGAGTGGTTCCTGCCCACATCCTGTGTGCGTCACTCTGTGACTCCCCCCCACCACCACCACCCCCCACCACCACACTGTCCTCTTTTGGTCTACTGGCTGAATTACTTTTTTTTTTTTTTTTTTTTTGAGTATTATAAAAGCTCTCTCTGTTGGACCATTCGGGAACATTGTATCCTACCCATTAGCTGGAGAACTTGATGAATTAGAACAGACCAAGACAGACTTGTTGACCTTGTGTTAGAATTTATGAACTGATCATTTGAGCCCATTCAACTCTGTCACGTGGGAACAAGGAGGTGGTGGAGCTACGCGATGCTTTAGTAATGCACCACTGTCTTTTATTTACCGAAATACCCCTAATTAGGTTGGCATAATTGAGTGAGCATGCTGTTTTTAGGGGCAGCGATTACTAATAAAAGGAGAAAATTGATCTTGTTAAAATGTAGACCCCACTGGACTTCCCAATTTCCCAATTTTCCCTCTATTCAACTCAAGTCATTTTTATGAATTAGTCATTCCAAAAGACACCAATGAGATGCTACTGGATGAAATATAATTACTTCTGCTGCCTCCATTCTGTCTCTCACATTCATAAGCAGTGGTCCCATACCTAGTAACAGCACACCCCTTCCAATCAGACAGAGAGAAATATGAACTGTTGGGGGTGCGACCAATCACCTCTCTTCCAGCAATACCCGCCCCTTTGCCTTACTGACCGACATCCTTACTGGCCGTGCGCCCCCTGAGAGGTGGTGTACAGCGACACCTGCTGGTAGCATCCTGTAATTTAACTTTTAACTACTCCTGGATAATATCCTCGTTTTCTACACAGAACTCAGAGAACGTTATTGTCACACAAAGGGAGGTTCATTTGGCAATAGGAGCACACAGAATTGTTATGAGAAAAATTTGGTTGTGTAGGCCTACATTTATCAATAGTTCTCATTAATACTCTTTCACAGTCCTCTACAGTAGTATATACACTTAAGCTGGACTATTGTTATAATGTAAATTACAATAAAATAAATACAATTCTTATTCAGTGTGTGCATCAAAATGCAATTTATGATTTAATGCCGTGATCAATAATTGTTTTTTTTTTGTTTGTTTTAAGAACAAAGGGTTTATTTGCTGCACTCATGATAACATTCTAAGTTAGTTTGAGCTCAAGTTTATGAAAATGTTGTGTTAATTCACTCAATTTTACAAGTTTATGTCATCTCAAGTGATGGAAAGTTTTCCAACTTTGAAAAATGATTCATATGAACTTAAAAATGTTAGTTAAAAGGACTAACAAATGATAGCTTGTCATTGGCTGTTTCTTAATTACGTAAGCATGTTGAACGGGATTCCCCTGCAAAACCTATAACTTTATAACAATAACATGGTTTTGAATCACATATTAACTACACCCTAATCACCAATTCATTACACCTCAAATTGTTGTTAAATTTACAACTTGGGTGATTCATTTATACAGCTGATCATTGACTTTTTGATTAAACTATAACTCCAAACTGTTTTAGCATCTGTATGTAGTCTAAAAACGTACTGTTGAGTTTAGTCCCTTAAAAATAACTTTTTCATAACTTAGATGAAATAAATAATACAATAACAAATACATATTTTTTAAGGAGATAGCCTATAGCAATTTGAAGAATAAGTCAAAGGGGTGGACTAAGTATTTAGAGTAAGTAAAAGTGTCAAAGGAAGAGTAAACTGGAATATAGCAGAGAATGAAGGTGGGGGTCACTTTATGGTAATGTGAACGGCTAATATATAATCAATAAATAATCTAGGCAGCCAATTAACATTTGCAAAGTGACAAGTGTCAAAATGTATAGAAAAGTCCAAGGTAGGCTAAAACAATTGTTCCAGGATGTATTGGAGCATACATTGTTTAAAGTAAAAGAACGAGACGTATAAACTACTCCCAAGAAAAATGGTTCTTGGGGAAGTGTTTCTTTGTTGCACAATCCACAATCGACCCATGAATCGACCCTAGGTTGCTATGGTTACATCAAAACAACAGGTCTTCGGTTTGCTACCAATTTAAGGCGCTACAAAAGCTTATAAACATGTAAATGGTCATTTAACGATATTGTATTCCACATTTTTGGACTTATTTTTTTTTAAAGTTCAGCTTAGGCCTTATTCAGGTTGTCGGACTTTGGGTGGCTGGTTGCTACAGCAAACATAACAACATTTTCCTCCTGTAGCCAAACAGGCCTCATCATCATCATCATCATCATCATCATCATGGAGGTTGGAGACAAGCTAAAAGAACTCAACATGACGGTGGACGAAATCGACACGATGGCAAAGGCTTTCAAGGACAAAAAGTTTAGGGAAATGCTGCGCGACTACGCCGAAGAATTAGCAGATCCTGAGAACAGGAAAATGTACGAAGAGGAAATCAAACTTCTGGAACAGGAGAGAGGAAACACGGTTGAATTTATCCACCCGGAACCTTTTAGAGCCATCAGGACGAGTTTGAACGGCAAGCAGAAGTGTTTTATTAACATTTGTGGCAGTGATAAAGTAGGCAAACCCGAGTGTAAAGTCGGGACGTCGCCGGGTGGTCGCAGAGGTCAGTGCTGGTCCTTACCTCACAGTCTGCACCCAGGGAGAGAAAACACTGATGCAGAAGAGAAAAAGATCATGACTTATGACGTCGTTTTCCACCCTGACACTCTCCACATTGCGAGCAAAAACAAAAGATTCATGGATATGGTGGAAAGCACGGCCATTGAGGAATCCAGAACACTTTTAAAGTGACTCTGGATAAAAACAACGTGAGGGAGATGACGAAGATAAAATACAAAGGTACACCGCAGCCTTGTGTTGTTAGAAAACCCACACCTGGACATCAAAGGAAGGAGGCCTCAGAGAAGCCAGACCCTCTTGCATTCCCATACCCAGATGAAAAAAGAACTGCACCTTCACTGGCAAGTCTGACAGATTCACACATTACAAATGAGACTAACTCTAAACGCTTCCAGATGCAGCCTCAGAAAACCAAGGAGCCAACCAAGCCAAACTACACAGTAAAATACAGATCTTTTATTGACCTGCAGGACTTCAGGAATTCAAGAGACTCAGCCCAAAGCCCCAGGCCCAAGGAGATAGTGGTTACCATTGATATGCCACTTTTGAAGGCGGTCACAGACGCTAGTCTTGAGGTAACAGAGAAACAGCTGCTTCTTGAGTCCAAGGAACCAGCCTACAGACTGGAGCTGCCTTTAGCCTATCCCGTGGATGAAGATAAAGGAGAGGCCAAATTCAACAAGCAGAAGGGACAGCTGACAGTCACACTGCCTGTTCTGCCTTCTGATGAGGCTTTCGAATTCACTCTAGGGCTGCATCAGAGTAGTGTTGGTGAGCAGGAGGAGGAAAGTGAAGTGGAAAAGGAGAGGGAAGTTCAGAAAAGTGAGGAAGATGAGCAAGGAGATGAGGGGAAAGTAAAGGAAGATCTGATTAAGGAATTTGATGAGAGCAAAGATGGGGAAAACCTACAAAACATGCAGCAACATGAAAATAAATTAGGTGAAGATGGATGTGACACAGATTCTGAGGAAAGGGGAAGCAAGGTGGAAAAGGAGGATAAATGGGAGGAAAAGGAGAGGGAAGTCCAGAAAGGTGACAGAGAAGAGCAAAGAAGTGCGGAAGGGAAAGTAGAGGAAGAAAGAGACACAACGAAGGAGGTAGAGGAGGAAAAGATGGAGTTTAATGAGGTGAAGATCGGAAAAACTTACAAAAAATGGAGCGACATGAAAAGAAATTTGGATGTGATACAGAATCAGAGGAAAAGGATTCTGGTGTAACAAGCTTTCAAGGCATTACTGTCAATCATTGCATGGACATTTCTTCTGAAAAAGGAGAAAATCCACATTTTGCTTCTCCCATAACAGAAAACAAGACAGTGTTAATCACCGCTTATCATTCAAATCTCAGAGTAAAGAGGAAGAAGTAGATCCAGAGTCAACACTCAAAATGAAGACTTCAGAAATCCCAGTGGAGACTGAACTGGATGAGGAGACTACAGAAGGAAACCAGAAGGTAGAAGTCTGACGGTCATCTTAAATCATGTTGAAAGTACAAGTGTGTGATCAAACTAATATTAGTTTTATTTTCTAGGACGAAACAGATGCTGCAATTGTACAGCACAGCTCCTGTGATAGATCTCAGGCTGCTGCTGTATCCTCAATCGCGGCTCACAGGCACAACATAAAGGATGACTGCATTTCCCAGAAGACTGAAAAGTCCGGCAAAATGCTTGCAACACAGGAAGCCAACGGGTCTGGCAAAGGGGTCAGCCTCTCTGAAGGACTTTCCACAAGTTCAGTGCAGCAGGAGGAGAAAATGATAATCGACGAGGATGACCTCCCAACAGAGGAAATCTTCCCTAAAGCAGAGCACAAGGTCAGCGAGCCGCCGCCTGTGTTACTGCGGGAGACCGATGAGCATGGAAATGAAAAGGTCATCAGTGATCATTCAACGTCTGCTGGGTTCTTCTTTGAAAACTCTCTGATGTTTGAGCTGGACTGAGAATGTAGTTTGGTGGTTTAGAGAGAGGAGAGAGAAGTTGGTCTGGTTACTGTAGAATCGTAAAGGTCACTTCTGTAGTACGGTGTCCGTGCCTTGAACCCCTAACAGCTTTGGCGAGCTCCCTGTGTGGCAGCCCCACTCTCCACATGAATAAATGTCCACAGGTCCTGTTTGTGCAGATGTGTTTAGTGCCTATGTGTGACAAGCATATCTCTTCATAACAGATTGTAAACCAAGGATTAATAAAATATGTAAAATAAAACAAGTAAACTTGTGTCACCTTATTGAAGAATACATGTCAAGAGAGAGAAATTAAATTTCAGTGTCCAAGACAAATAAAATAAAAGACTGAGGACAACATAATGAATACTTGATTTTATTAAATTGTTCATGTATATATGTTTATAAAAATAGTGGGTCAGTAAAAACCACCTCCCTTTAGTCAGTGCTCCTGGACCCTGAGGCACTGTGTTCAGGTACAAACTCATCTAATTTATTTTTTCCCCTGACTCAGAAAAATGTCAGTAGGGAAACTTGCAGTTTGCTTTAAGGTGAGGGAAGATCAGAAAAGATGATTTATGACACAGGACAGTAGCCCTAGCAAACTGTTATTTTGTGCCTGTGATGCTTCCCACTATTTTTGCATGAAGTTTGCACCACTCGGTTTTAGCTGGAGCAGGTATGAGGGGTATTTATGAATCTAGTAAGCCTTTTTTTTTTAATGTGGTGGAAGTGCATCACAAGTTGAATGTAAGATTAAAAGAGAATTACAAAAAAAAAGTGTAACTGAGTCAATATTCCCCTTTCATTTCAAGATACTACCAGATAACTGCACCACTGAGCTGTTTGCTGCTGAAGTTTCCAACTGTAGTCGCTTCATCCCATACCAACAGCATCTAACAATCTGCAATCTAATACAACAGTCCACAGCATTTTCCGAGCTGTTAGTGTGTCCTTTTTTTCCAGAAAAAAAAAAAAAAGTTAGTGCGTCCTCATCTGATTCCTCTCTGGAGGGAGTGGTCTAAAAATTCAGAGTAGCAGGAGAGGGAACAGAAGTGCTGCTGCACCGGAGCATCTGTGCCCCCCATGTCGTCCACCAAGACCACCGTGTGAGAGACCTGGTGCAGGTTCATGCTGACCGCTGTCTTGATGTAGAAGCTGATGCAGACACGGCCGCAGTCGCAGGTTTTGGCTACTTCAAGGTCCTGACACAAGTGGGCGGGGATGAGTTGAGGTCCATATGGTAACCTGTAAGAAAAAATAACAAGTCAAGAGTTAGCTTTAAGAACATACAAACAACAGTGAAGTTGTCATAGTATCCTACCGTACTTCTAAACTCGAATGTGATATCTTTGAAAAGAGGGTTGTTTCCATTATAACTAACTGGCACACACTGTTGTTTTTTTTGGGACAAAACTGAAAAAAGGGAAACAATCAGAATTGTTTTAATTCTATGATTTAACACTTTGTTCTTGATTACCATGCTCGCTCTCTCCACTCCCCCTCTATGTCACTCTACCATCACTGCATTTGCTGTTTTGCTTGTGGCAGCTCTGTGCTACTAATCTGATTATAGAAGATTTGATACTTTTGAAAAAGACGCAACAAAACCAATTTTTCCTTCTTGTATCTGATCCCGACTGAAACCAGTTGGTTTTAATTGGGGGTCTAATTAATTATGGTATTAGATTGTGTATTTACGGGCATGACGGACACCGAATTTGAGGAAGTTCTAACAGCCAATAATTGGAACTACTCTACATTGTCATAACCCCCATTATGAGCATGTGTAAATTCTGACCTGAGGTTGACCACCGCTCTAGAAGCCAGCTCTTGAAGTGGAACGGGGAATGTAAGTTTCATTGTGTGGTCCAGAGGATTTGGTTGGACAAATGGATTTCCAAACAGGTCCAAGTTCTCCAGACTCAGTCTACGGAAGTCAGTGGGCAGAACAGCCAGCTGGTTATGCGCAGCCGACAGGAACCTCAACCTGGATAGCCTTCCCACATGAAACGGCAAACAAACAAGCTCATTGTCATCCAGTTTGAGGTTCACTAGTTCTTTGAGCTGGCAGAACTGAGCGGGGAGGGTCCGCAGGCGATTCTGGCTGAGGTCCAGCAGCTGGAGGGTCCGCTGCAGAGTAGACAGGCAGAGGGCCTCGCTGAAGGATTCCAGGTGGTTGTTGTGGAGGACGAGCTCTGAGAGGCAGCCGAGGTCGCCGATGGTGGCGGGGAGTTTCTTGATATGGTTGTTGCTGAGGTCGAGCTTGCGCAGAGCTGTAAAACCACAACCAAAGGAAACATCAAATTAAATGGGGTTCTTAAACAGAGTATTCCAGCAAGTACAGTTCTTCCATAAAGATGGGCGAGTAGCTAAAGACATATTTACAAAACAACAGTCCGTATAGAGGCAGCAGACTTGCTGTCACAAGCTCTTTAAAGACTTCATAATGCAACTCATCAACATTATTTTCATATCCTAGAAATATAAGAAGACTCCCATCTACATATTCTGCAGTGTGACACTTATAGAGTCGCCTGATACGTATTGCAACTAGCCCCAGAAAACTGAACTAGTTTAGTTAAATGATTGAATGTAACTACACGGCTGTGCTAAATACTTGATTATGATTGGCCAATTATGCATAGCAACAGCTATCCTTTGATAGATCACACATGTCTAATTGCAGACTCTGAAGGACTAACTGTAATTATCGCTAAGAAGTCTGGTTTATTGGACCTGGGTCTGTTTACTGTGGGAAAAGGAGAAGGGAGAAGATACCAGCAGTGAAAAGAGAAATCTACAAAAACTGAAGAGCAGTGCAGTGTTAGCAATATTCAAAGCTAGATTCATTTTTTTGCGGTCAGTCTTTTTCCACTAGTATTATGATTATGATTGTACTGCACTAGTATCAGAGGGATGAGAGATATAGATACTCAGTTGTAGGTATCTGAATCAGTATTGAAAAAGAAAAAGTATCCTCAACAGGCAAAATCATAAACTCAGTGGAAAAATGGCAATCAACCTTTAAGGGAGAGCATCCGCATGTCCACCCGTGACAGTTTGCAGTAGGAGACCTGCAGCTGCTCAAGAGAGTAGGGGAAGTTGGAGGTGAGCGGGTAGTCCTTCTTAGAGACGATGGTGAGCTTCTTCTTGGGTTGTTCTACGTCTCGGGCGCGGACCGGAGTGAGGGTGGAGAGAGGAAGGCTGCTTGTGTCGCTTCCTCTGTCAGCCAAGCGAGCGGCTGAGAGGAAGTTCTTCAAACTGTTTGCATCAGCCTACAAAATCAATCAATAAAAATTAGGAGGATGGGTACTGGATTAATAGGTTACAGTCAGAACAACATATGAACAGGCAGGCTCCTTGAAATAATCTAACCTAGATTCACCGGCCTTGAAATAACTTGGCACACTTCCTTTGAATGAACGGGGTGAACTTTTTACTGTTGGGAATAGCAATCTGAGTGGTATGTATTTTGTGAAGATTTCATGAAATTTGTGAATCACTGTACAATTAAAGTGTCTAAAACAACAAGCGTGCGACCAAAAAAACACAGTCATGCGATCAAATCACTTTTTGAACCCAGAGTTTCTGATGTTTTTTCTTCTTCAAACTATTACCAGAAGTTTACTTCGTACAGCGCCTTCTTTCCTTGTTCACCTGCCTGTTGTGTTGTCAGCCTGTTTGCGGGTGTGTGAGAACTTGTCTCTCAACAAAACATGTGGAACTATGTTAGAATCTAGGTGAAAGGTCACCACTGCCTCTAAACAGCCAGGAGGGCTTTAAAGCAGATGGAAACAATGAGGCTGCTGTGGTGGTGTCTGTACTGGCAGTCAAAACAACAGTGTTTGTCGGTCTAGTTGATAAACGAGAGAGTGGAAAGCTTTACTTTCTTGCTTGACAAAGCATTTAAGGAAATAAAACTGAAGTTGCTTCATCATCAACCTGCATGTCATGTATTGGGGCAACCAATACAACCAGACATTGTGTACAAACACCAGCCTGTATTTACGTCAGTTGTCATACCTTGCTCAAACAAATGTCAACAGCAGGTTCCTTTAGTCTCACAGTAGCCTTGCCTTCCTCCACGAACCAAGTGAAGAACTTCTCTATGTTGTCTTTGAGCTGCAAGTGAAAGTTGGCAAGTGTCAGTGATGGAAAAGTACATTTCACAATGCATTGTGGGAGGGTGTATGCATCATCATTAATGAACCTATTCGCCTGCTCTACAAGTGCTGACAGGAATACTGGACACATTTCAACCTCTACATGGAAGTTTACACGTCTACAGAGATATGACCTTTTAAATCAGATGAACAAATCACACAATCCAGGTCTTTATATCAGAAGGAAGGGCAATGATGAATAATTCAAAAGGTCCATTGCAGTTGATCAAATTACAGTGAGTAACTGAAGTATGTTGTTGTAATGACATCAAGTTTTTCTTTTTCTTAATAGTTAAAGGATCCAGACAACAATAATAACGACGACAATGTCACAACATCACAGCAAACAAACAACAAACTAATAGGGAAAAGTATTCTAATTCTATTATGTTCATGTTTATATGTCTAAACCAAATAGTCAATGACAGTATAAATACCTTCATACTTCATGGATCTTTACTTTTTCTCCTTTTAAGCAAATTTAACTTTCACTGTCAACCAAAGAACTGATAATACACCTGCATTTTAGAGGGACTACATTTTGCACAAAAGGCAGCCACTAATTCTTTTTTCTTTTTTAAAACCTCCTGTTCACGTGTAAGATGGGTATTATTTGAGTAGGTTGGTTTAACTGGGCTTGAAATTATCTTAGATTGAAGAATTCGACCTAAACAATATAATCTAAGAGCATCTTTCAAAGTAGCCTGATTTGGAAACAAAAACAGAGACCACACACTCGGGCATGGTGCAGTAGTTTGTACAGCACAGATCACAACAATCACTGACCTTGTACTTGGAGCCTGTTCTGTCTTTAGCTGTGCAGATCATCATGTAAATGCAGCTACGTTGACATGTCTTGTCCAAATGCTTCCCGATGGAGATTACAGCTCTCGTCCCCTTACCTCGACTTTTAATCCCAAACGTGGGGAGCATCCGACTAACCACCTCGACATCACACTGCAGCTTCATCGCAAACAAACAAACAAACAAAAAAACAAAAAAATACTAAAGCCAGAAGTCCGGCCGAGTTGGGGTGAACGGAGGGTTTGAATGCATACCAGAGGAAAAAGTCACGTTAGGTTGTTACATACGTCCTGCAGCTAATGACACAACACACCCGGGTCTCGTCATGTCAACAACACAGACGCTGTCTTCAAAGAGCCGCAAACAACCAGCTCACGAGCGGCTGTCGGCGACACCAGACTCAGTTTACAGTCGGTTTACCGAGCATTAATTCTGCAGCTGTGCTTTTATTCACAGTGTCTTGACAAATTGTTCAGATCCGGGATAGTTTTCGGTTGACAGCTGCTCGGTTAGCTCCCGTTAGCACGACCTCGCGCGCTGGGGAAGTGACGTCAGCTCGTTAACGCAGCCCGGGAGCAAGAGCAGAAGAGGAAACCACCCTTGTTTGAAAATATAATTTAGTTATACTACTTTTACAAATGCCTTCAAAATTACCTTATTAAGTAAAACAAAAAGGCCTTCATGGAGTTTGGGAAGATTTAAAATCACGACTGAAAAAAAAAAAAAAATAGCTATCGCCTGGCGCTCACTTAGACGTATCCATGACAACAGTGCAACAACTCCATCTGCCGAGGAGACTGTGATGTGCAGTTAAAATAGTAAGTGTCAAATGATTAGATTTTTCTATCTTAACCTTAATGCTCTCTCGGTAGATGGGTTAGTATGCCTAAATAGTAAGTACATTTAAATAGTGGATACAATGAATTAAGAAATATTAAGTATAAGTAGCCCATATCCTAGCCCTAAGCAGTTGTGTGGAAAATAAGACTTTTTTTTACTTCACTAAATGTATTTGACAGAAACAGTCAAAGTTGTCTGCACATTGTTATCTTTAGCCTACAGCATTACAATGCTGCTTAAATGTCTATGTAACTATACAAAAAATCCAAGTAATACACTGTTTGTCATAATACAATTCTACAAATGTAAATTGAGCTGTTCTGAAAGGTTTAGGGTATAAAACACATGATCACAGAATTAAGACTTTGTTGTAGAGAGCATTAGTTTCTGACATATTTTAGAAAAACTTTACGTTGTTTTTTTTCTCCTACCTTTCTTACCATCTCTTTTACCCCACAAAATGAGGTTTTTTTTTTAGTTTTTTTTACACTTAGAATTCATTTTATTTGTGGAAATAGTAGCTAATTTGTGAGACTGAGACAATCTTGTCCTGTTAGATGCATATTCTAATATCCTATTATTTGTCCACATTAAAATATTCCTTTCCATCTTACCTGATACCAGTAAGCTGATATCTTAAATGTCAAGTCATTGATTTGAAACACTGGTATGCACAATAATCCTTCAGAAACACTTTAATTACTTTCATTTTGACATTCACTTCATTTTCACCACTCTGCATATCTCTTGTCAATCATCAATAATGCTTTGTAGTGTTTATGAAAATCATGGGAAAAAAACAACAACAGAACAAAACAGAATGCTCATGTCTGCATGTCTTTGGTTTCGCCTTGCTGATTATAAATCACATAAAAGAAACTAAATACACCTTTGGTAATTACATGCAACTTCTCTCTCTTTTTTTTTTTTGTATTACTCGTAGCCTAAATGTCCGTGTACATATTCCATCATGTACACAGTCAGAGTTGGATTTGGTGGAGCATTGTTTACTGTGATTTAAAAATAAAAATAAAATGACAGACGAAAAGAGCAGGGCTGCTGAGGTGGTGCAGTTCTCATCTGTCATGGGTGCACCATTTCATAAATATGACATTTAAAATTGTCCTTGGCTTGTACACACCTCTGTAGGTATACAACTTATGTAGGGATAATATAAATATTTACTGTAATTGCAATTTCATTTGAAGACTCATTGATTTTTGACACTCCTGAGTGGGATCCATCCTTACATGTCATTACAGGGCTGTCTCCACACAGGACGACCCCCTTCGTATGTAGTAACGTCTCACTTCCCTCCCGTCCTCACTGCTACAGCCCTCGGACCGATGCACGATGAGAACAGGGAAGAACCGGGCGTCCCTGTAAGTGGGAGGGCTGTCGCTGAGTGCAAGTTGGCTTGAGTCTGACCTGCAGCACTGCTCATCCACACAGCATGGCTCTGTCAGATCGCTGCTGCGACTCCTCCACGGAGCCACGGAGCGATGCGAGCCGTACATGCGGCACAGGGAGAAGCGGGATATGTCTGAAGACAGGTGGGAGTGGAAAAGAGCTCCACGGCAGGAGAAGATGGAGGAGCAGCTGGAGCTGGTGATGGTTCTCCTCCTGCCCCCTCGTCTGCTTGGCTCGCTGCGTCTCTCGGGGTCGTCCTGGCTCCTTCTCCTGCCTCCTTGTCGGCTTGGCTCGCTGCGTCTCTCTGGGTCGTCCTGGCTTTGGAGGGCGCCATAGCTCTGAGCAGTGGAATCCAGAAGGAAGCAGTTTGAGGAGGAAGTGTTTTCTGTGTCCTGTAATGAGTTGGAGTCTGCCGTGCTCATGTTGATCAGCATGGCCTCAGAGTAGCTGGGAATCACCTGACGATTACAGCGAATGTGCCACTCCATCTCTGTGCTGTCCAGAGTGTCGACTCTGGGAATAACACAGCCGGTGTTATTTCTGGAAGGCCTGTCTTCATCCTGAGGAGAGGGGCTGCTGTGGCTGTACTCCAACCCAAACAGTTTCTCTATACGGTAGTGCACATAAGCAGTGCGGTACTCTACCAGCACCCGCAGTGGCCAGGACAGCATCAGGAGAGCCGCCAGCCAGAAGACAGCATCGGAATTGTACCAAGGCATCCTCTCTGGGTCCACATAGGCAATCAGGTTTTCTCTGAAGTCCACGTTCTTCAGCTGCATCCCCTCCCTCGCCTCCATGTAATCGTCCAAACCCTCAATCTCAGAGAAGAACCTGGCTCTCTGGTTGAGGTATTCATTTTCCGGAGCAGCCTCGGTGAAGCTGAAACATTTCGTGAATCGAAGCCGAGTCGCCGAATGGCCCTCCAAACCTCTGAGGTCTCGTGACACGTCTTTCATACCGCATCGGCTGTAATCGAACTCCCCTTCAGCTACATGGGTGTTCACTCTCTCATGGTACACTTGTGTGGTGGTGTAGGCGTCTCCGTTGCGGTATCGGGTGACCTGTCGAGTCCTTCGTACAAAGTGGTAGCTGATCGCTTTCCACCAAATGCAAGGTTGGGCCTGTTGCATCCGCAGGACGCGCTCGTACACGCTGTCCACGTTGGCTTTGACCTGCAGCTCGCTCCGGGCTCTGCAGTGCCAGCACTCGGCGAGGTAGAGGACATAAAGCATGAGCAGGAAGGCCAGAGGGATGTAGATGTAGCCATCAGAGCAGGGGCTGTCATGGTAGATCATCGAGTGTCCTCCGACACCCATACCTGTTGCCCCACGCAGGGAGGAGGTGAAGGAGGCCGTGAAGGAGGCCGTGAGGGCCGGGTTGAAGCTGATCTTGGTGACCCGAGTCACCTGGCACCAGAACACAACGCCCAAGCAGCTGTACATGAGCAGAGAGAGCAGCAGGCAGCGCCAGTGGGAGTCCCGGTAGACACAAGCACCTAGAGACTGTTTCACTGGACACTGCTGCAGAGAGAGAGAGAGAGAGAGAGCGAGAGAGAGAGAGAGAGAGAGAGATAAGAGGGAAAGAAAAAAATAGTACGGTACTTAGGGCAATGCAAATGAAGGTGGCTGAACTATAAATTGCCAAAAGTTCAATACACAATAAATCAACTAAAAGAAGCTTGGTGGGGTTCAATTAAACCATGAAGTGTTCCTAGGAGGCCATGGGTAAATGTGTGTAAATCAGTGTAGTGATACAACAGAAAACTCAAAGTACTTGGTCTTTTTCGATTCTCTGATTTTTTTGAAATTTTCAAAATCCAAAACAAAACACTGGGCTGACAGACAAAATATTAACAGAGGTTTCTTTTGCACACATCTCTCTCAGAATTCATCTGATTTTCATTGCATGAGGGGGGAAGACCTTCCAAGTTAAGTTGTCATTGAGATGTCTCAGTGTGACACTGGTCTGGTATATTTGTAGACAAAAGTGTCCCAAGTGTTTGAGACAAATACCAGTGTAGATATTGAAGAGTTTAAAATCTTATTTCAGATTGTATGTACATATATAAATAGATATTTTAGATATAGATATAAGATTTATTTTTGGGCTTTTTATGCTTTTATTGCAGAGATAGGATAGTGGGTAGAGTCAAAAATCAGGGACAGTGAGAGATTGGGCAATACATGCAGGAAAGGAGCCACAGGTAGGTAATTAACCTGTTGCTGGCCACTTGTAGGACTACAGCCTCCGTTCATGGGAAGGGGGCACTAACCACTAGTCTGTACAGACGCCCCAGCAAAAAAAAAAATAAAAAAAAAAAAAAAAAAAAATATATATATATATATATATATATATATATATATATATATATATATATATGGCCCACTGCCCAACAGACCTGTAGTATTGCGTAATATGTAAATGATGTAACCTGAAACTTGTTTTTTTTATATATATATATATATATATATATATAGGCTATATATACTGTATATATTGTTCACATGAATGCACATTACATGAGGTCAGTAATCTAACCAACATATGCTCCACCCTTTAAAAAAAGTTCCACTCAAAGTGTGTATGCATTTGCCTGCGTTTGACATCTGTTATGCTCCAAGGTGCATAAAATATTGCTTGTAATTTACACATATTACACACAAAATACATGTTTTAGTTGTTTCTGCTCAGCAGTCTTTTTTTAACATACTGGTAGTGTACAGAAAAAATACACTAATGTCATCTTTGTATACTAACAGATATTCACAACTATAATCGATCTTTCGTTATAAAATTTCTATCCCTTACTTTAAATAGGACCATGAAGGCACCATGAGCAGAAGAGATGCTCTAGCCACGGAAAATAAATAGAAAATGTACTTTTTAAACAATTAAAGTTTCAGGCATCTATCAAGTGAAGACAGAAAATAAGCTACTTCGAGTTTCACATTTTCTCTAATATGTTATTACACAAAAACCCAGCCAAATAATGGTGTCACCTTCTGTCCACTACTCGATGACATTCCTGACATTTCCTAATGAAAATATTTACTGTAATTTCACACTGACGGGGTCATTCTGCTATTTTTTAAGGGCACATCTAAAAACTTCTCCTCGTACTGCTTCAACACACACTTTCATTTGCTCTTCCCTTGACTGCAGCATATTTGGTCATTAGCACAGGGTAGACAACGAGAAACAGAAAATGCTCACATTTGCAATAAAGGCCACAAGTTTAAACGTCCAGTGACCAAAGACACAGGCTCAAAGCTATTTAATGATCAACAAAAACGTTTATGGAAGCTCGGGCATTTGTGCATAAAGAGATTCAAGCGGGACTGCAACATTTAATGTTTCTGCAGGAAGGGGAGTTTTGAAGTTTCACTCATTAAATCTGTAAAATGTATCAGGATTTCCTTCTCAATGTCTTTGAGTCTGGTTACTTTGACGACAACCCTCCCAATGAGCTCATGTGTTCTTGTAGACTACCTCTGGTGTTTTATGGAGTGAGACGATTTATGCTGACAACCGGCCCCATCCATTACAGCCCTGACAGAGGGGTGGAGCTGTCACTTTGCTGGTTCCACCTCAGTTATTTATGAAGAAAACAGGGATCCAATTCTGGTGAAGCAGAGACCAAGGACTTCTTAAAACCAAAGGCCTTTTGATTGAATAAAATTGTAATCATTCCCCTGGTTTTCTTTTGGATTGAATCATGTTTTTATAAACTAAAAATGCAAGTTTAGCAATCCCCTGCCACCTCAATAAACAAATGCATCCATGAGTCTGTTAACAACACGACCTTCTTTTTAGCTTTAAATTTGCATAATGAAACCTGTTGACTGAAGATTAATTGGATTAAAAAACAACAGCTTGTTACTAAATTGCGCTTCAATCTTTACCACAGGACAAAATACGACTAATCAGCTTTAAGGACGGTTACTAACTTCCTTCTTTCGCTGCATGTCCACCATGGTTGGCTGCATCCCCCAGATGCAATCACAGTAATTACTGCATGACAGTAAAGACAGGCCAGGGCGCAGCAAACACTGACACATGTACACTGAAATGACTTTGGTTGAAGGCTTTGCAAGAAATAAATGATTGCTGGCTTAATAACTGTCTTTGTTTTTTTGTTTTTTTTTTAAACTGCATGACTTGTCTTTAGGAGTATCTTTCACATCACTAGATTCTACTTGCCACTATGTCACATGGACTTTTCTGACATTTCAGCAAGCAGAGAGGTTGTTTGGCTGCAGGTGGAAGCAATAATGGTACAGAGGAAATTAGTGTGTTCATGTGAGCCGATAGCAAAGACATCAAAATGCATGTGATTTAGGCTAAATGTAAATTAGCTGTATTTATGTTATTCATTTAATATGATCTAATGAGGTTGCCAATAATTTCTGTTATTCCTTCTATTTTTCTATTCATCAATAATGCTTACTCAGGTAGTATTTGCTCAAGTAAAAAAAACAAGACTATATTTGGATGCATGTAAACACCAAAGACTGTATGTGAAAGGTCTACACATACCTCCTCCAGGACATCACTCTCAGCCGGTGAGTCCTCCTCCTCCTCCTCTTCCTCCTGCTCCTCTCCATCAGCATCATTGGCAGCGCTGGCCGCTGTGTCCTCCGCTGCAGAGTCCAGATCGGAAGAGAGCATGCTGCACTTTTCGCATGTCCGTTGTGAGCTCAAACTCTCCTATTCACTTGCTCTGTTACCTCCGTTTGAACCTTCTTTTTTGTGTGCCTCCTTAAGCCGCACAGCTTCTGGGCCGGAGCCAGCGGGCTGCTGCTGCTGCAGCTGCTGCTGCTGCTGCACGGAGCGGGGATCCCTCGGTGGTCCCTGTTGGCTGGATGATGGAGGGGGGCGGGGTTGAGGGATTTCACCGCAGCACAGGCAGCAGAGGTTGACCATCATGCAGTCAGTGAAGATTGGTGTCCCTCTAGCAGTTAAACCACCCTACTAAGAACAAGCATCGTCAAGCACCGTCTTTACATTATGTTATTCTAGTTATCCGAAAAGGGGGGATGGGGGGGGGGGTTGTAATGCATGATATAGGCTAGCAGTAGCAAAATCATGCAGTAAACCCCAATCAGCGAATATATATCTTAATATATTCACATACCTGCTAAATAGTGCATGTCGACAAAGACAATATATTACCTTGATGGTTTAAGGGCGGAAGACGGCGAAGTGTTCGAGGAAAGGTCGCTCCGTCGTTCATATCACGTTATGTTTGTCAACGCTCTTATTTTGAAGGCGGAGTGTGGCGTTACATTAAAAACCCTCCGTACTTTCTCGGTGTGTTTCGTGTGCTCTCGACAGTCTCACGTATCCAGAACTTAACTGAAGGTTAGCTTACTTTACTCACTGCAGTGAAACATATAAAGGTACAAACACAGCCACAATGTTGTCAGACAGTTTTGTTGATCATTTAAGCTTCGACAGAGTGAGTTTGAAGACTTCAAGCGTGTCGGATGTAACGTTAAAGATACATTGTGCACGTGAAGAGGAAACGACATTCAATTGTAAGTGTAATAAATGGACACAATGTTTTAATGTTTTTGTTGTTTGCCAATATATATTTACACGCTTCTACACCCTGTAGATAATGATAGATAGCTTCTGCTTATATGTCAGTAACGTTACCAGAGAGTTTAAGAAATTCTGTTGAATTCTGTTTTCTATTATTATTTTCTATCTATTATTGTTTTCTATTATTTTGAACCATAGGACAGGCTCTAAAAGTTTCACAGACGGTTAAAAAAAACCCAACTATTTATGTGTTATAAGTGGCGTGAGGCAATTTTTAATGTGGGTACATACCTACCAGTTTTATGGCCCCTTGTAACACCATCACCTTTGTACTCTGGGTTGGTGAGATCTGGGTTAACACAAATAATGAAGGGGAAATAAGTTGACACATTCAAGACTGTACTTTGTGTCCTTTTTAGAGGGATGTTGCGGCGTCCCAAGCCGACTGATTCCGAGTCTGACCTCCTGAGAGAGCAGGAGCAGTTTCTGACCTCCGGCGCCCCGTCTGCTGCCAATGTGGTCCGCAGGCCTGACAAGAGGAGAGGCCAGGCTGGAGCTGGAGACGGAGAGCAAGACGGAGAAGATGATGGTGAACAGCGGGATGTTGTCACAATAGAAGGTCAGATGATACTTATTAGTTCCCCATTGCAGTATGTGTCATTTTTAACTCAAGTCACAGCTCATCATTCATTATTAAGGTAATGTAATAACTACAAACTTAGTGTTCATATTTTGTGTCTGTCTAGATCTTCCGGACCAGCTACCGTCTCTGACGCCTGCGCCTCCGAAGAAGTCTCGCTTCAAAGCCAGCCGGGTCACTTTCGAGGCTGAAGATGCGGAGGAGACGTTGGACAGACATGACACTCACATCAGTGCTGTTCTCTCCAGGATTGTTGTAAGTTTGAACTAAATGCTGCATTAAACATGAAGGTGTGAATCAGATAGATGACAATTCTGTTAAGTTTATTTTCTCAGTCATTCAGGTGTGCTGTTCTCATGTTTAGTTGCGGTTCTTCTTTCTTTTGTTTCATCATTTCAACAATCTATCTCGATCTTCCTTTGTTTTAAGGAGAAAGATACAACTTCTACTCCAATATCTCTACCAGCACTTACAGGCGTGGCTTTCCCTAAAGTGATGCACCGCTCCGAAACCAACAGTCAGGTAAAAAGACAGAAATGCCTATTTTTCCCAAATAGTGTGATATTAGCAGGGATGTGATTCTTTTAGATTTATCAAGTCTGCTGGATTTCCAAACCTGAATTATTAACCAACGAGACTTTAATTATCCATGACCGTATTTCCTACACATGCAATGTTACACCTGTATTGTTGTATTTACAACCGCCTTTGTGTATTTTGTATATCCATTTTAGAATTTTCTTATTTCATAAGATGGATAAACCAGTGAATGATAAACCCTTCGCTCTCCACACCTCCTGATCATGGTGCGAGTGGCGTGTGATGTGTATGCTCTGCTGGTGATCAGATAGAGAGAGAGATTCATTGTTGCGTTCTTCCTAAGATTCAACGATTGCTGTGCGATGTCTCATGTTATTTATGAGCCTTTTAATGGCTTTGCTTTAATCGTTTTGTTCAGCTGGTAGCTGCTGAATTAATTCTGCACTCCTACAGTTTTCCTACATCATTAATATATATAATATATAATCCATAAGGGGCTCATCTCTTGTACTAACAAAATGGCAAGAACATTTTTTGTAGTTGTGTTCTTTGGGCGACTATATAATGATTCTTGTTCTAAATCAAGATGTCAGTAAAACTAAAATAAGGTCACTCCTTCACTGCATGGTCAAGTGTCACAGAAATCAATCACATTCTTGATTGTGTTTACATTTTCACATTGTTTGCCAGTCTTACCTGCGCATAAAAAATAAATCCACTAATGTCATACATGAACTATACACACCCTGGATGTGATTGAACAGAGCACATTCAGTCACAGGCGGATCACCCGAGATGCAGAACTGAACGTTAATGGAAGTCCTTTCTCTTATTTGCCATTAGACTGTTTGATGGGGAATAATACACAATAATACACCTGTATGCAGGACATTTATATGTACTCATATTTATAGATACACTTGAACAGATTTTTCATACTGGATACATTTCTTTAGATGTCTTTTATTTATAATTCCTAAATTTTAGTCTGTAATAAAAAAAATAGCTTAGTATTTTATTTAAGTTCACTCTGTGTGATTTTTTTTTTCAATGTAATGTCTGTCTGCCTGTCTGTCTGCCTGTCTGTCTGCCTGTCTGTCTGTCTGTCTGTCTGTCTATCTATCGCTCTCTCTATCTATCTATTGTCATTAACATGAAAGAAAAGTAGCTTTTCTCTCTGTAGAGGGTCAGGTTTACTTTAAAAACTACCACAGAAGATGACTTTTGAGTAATCTCTTTGCACTTCTGGTGTGTTACGATGATTTCTCTTTGAGTTTATCTTAAATTTAAAAGTTTATTCCCACTCTCACCAGGTGCAAATGTCTTCAGTTGGTGGAAAGAAGAGTATCTTTGCACTCCACATAGCAGCTCAGAGGATTAAAGAGGGTAAGACACCTTTACACTGTGGCCCTGAAGCTGCTCAGATACCTGGACACAGAGAGCAGAACCTGCCTCCTGAGACCAGTATGGATACAGATCAGAGTGAAGCTACAAATCATCGTAAGTAGACTTGAGCTGGATTATTTTAATCATAACACGCGTCATGTTTTTGTTTGAATTCACATTTAATGGTCTATCCTCTCCACTCTCCACAGGGCCAAATCCAATCTCAGGTCTCAGGCTGGTGTCGGGTCAGGGTCTTCAGGGCCTAGAAGGCTCAGCAGAGACCATGAGGATCCACAGGGAGAACCAAGCTAAGCTCCAGGCCATGTCTCAGGATGAGATACTACAGGAGCAGAGGAAACTCTTATCCCAGCTTGGTGAGAAATGTTGTCCATATGATGCTTAATGAGTATTTACTACGTACTAAGAAGTAGAAATAGTTTTAGCCTACTTTATTTTCAGCTTTGTTGTCTGTCTACTGTGTGTATAACGGGATTATTTCTGCTCCCCAGATCCGAGACTGGTGGAGTTTGTTAGATCTCACAAAGCCCAGAGTCTCCCATCCTCTGCCTCCCCTTCCAAACAGCCCCAGGGCAAATGCAGTGAGGGAAACTTTCCTCTCGACAATGTGAGCAGAGAGTCAGACTCCTCACGTGCTGCTGTGTTGTCTCAGAATCCCCAAGAAGTAGAGATGGAAAGAGAGGAGGAGGAAGAGGAGGAGGACATGCCACCACCACCACCACTGCTGGTTGTGACGGGAATGATGGGTACAAAAAAAACCCCACTTCTATCACTTTTACTTTATCTGCACATGTTTTCCTGCTGATGCTGCAGATTTACATTAATCATGTGGAGTATTGGAAAGATTTGACTTTTAGCATCAATAGGCCTGATTTGATTGTGATTTTGCAGCAGGGAGTGTCAAATTATTCAACTTATAATACATTTGAAAGAGAGGAGCCCCTTGAATACTATAGCAGAGTAATAAAAAAGGCACAAGAGTTTGTTTAGTATTAAAAAGACCAGCACTTACGTCTGTCTTGATTTACCTGTTTTCTTCTCCATCCTCTTTCAAGCATCCGTCCTCTCAAAGTATAAATCAATCAATCAATCTTTATTTGTATAGCATCAACTCATAACAAGTGTTATCTCGAGACACTTTACAAAAAGCAGGTAAAAACCTTACTCATTGTTATGTTACAAAAAGCAGGTAAAATACCTTACTTATTGCTATATTACAAAGACCCGGCCTGTCTGTCATGAGCACTTTAGCAAGTAAATAAAGCGGGATGAAACTGCCGTTTAAAATCCAGGCATTAAAGCCGATCATTAAGTTCACTCTGTGTGATTAGCAGACTGAGCCAGAAGAAGCCACTCTCTGCAATTAAGTTACTGCAGATTTTTTTTTTTTTTTTAAAGATTACCCTGAGTCCTGATGAAAGGGTGGAGCTAATGGATCAAATGAAGACAGATCTATCACATCACTTTATTCTGTTTTTCAAACAAAAACACAATAAACACAGCCTGTGTGTCATTATGCAACTCTGCTCAAACACGTATGATTGTGTCCTCTATTTTCCTTTAAGTGACAATAATGTTTCATTAATTTGGAATCTGAGCAAATGTGCCAGACTTTGTTTATGTTTGTAATTCTTTAACTGTGGTTGTGGGAATAAAGGGTATATGTCTGTTTGAAAGAATTACCTGCTTCTCAGGTGGTTTAAAGGTCACATATTATCCTCCTCTTCAACTAGTTTAAATATGTCTCAGAGGTCCCCGAAACATGTCTGTAAAGTGTCTTGCCAAAAATCCACTCTGATCCAGTGTTTGATCATGCCCATAAACCCCTCTATTTCAGCCTTGCTCAGAACAGGCTGTTTCTGTGTCTGTAGCTTTAAGTGCAGGTGAGCTGTGTTTGACCACACCCCTTTGGAAGGGGATGTGGCCTGGGCTTTCTTGCACCATGCTCTGTTGTTCATGCTGAGAAGGCAGACTAAGAGGGCACAACAAACACGTAGCTGTGGGGGTGTGACCCACCTGGGGGAGGGGTTACTGCCCTTTGTGATGTCATGAAGGGAAAATCTCCAAACGGCCCATTTGAGCACTAATTTTCTGAGAGTGGAGCTGGCAAAAGACAGAGAGGAAGGACTTTTCTCA